CTGTACCCTGCCTTCTGCATCCACAACGGTGGCTCCGACCTGGAGCGGCTCCCCACGGCCAGCACCTGCATGAACCTGCTGAAGCTCCCCGAGTTCTACGACGAGGTGCTTCTGCGGAGCAAGCTCCTCTACGCTATTGAGTGTGCTGCTGGCTTTGAGCTGAGCTGAGCTCACTGGCGCTGGGATCTGGCCCTCTGCAGAGAGACCCGCACCTCCTCCCGCCAGCAGTACCTCCCTGTGAGGATGCACAGGCTGGACGCCATGGCGCTCCCAAGCTCCTTCCTTCATTCTGGCATTCCTCCTTCCTTCATTTTTAAAATAATTTTTATTATGATATGGTCACTTATTTAGATGAACATTGCTTTTTCAATAACTTAAAATAATAAATGTTACGTGCCAGGTGGCTAATTTAGCAATTTTGCCAAGAAGAGCACAGTTTTTAGACTAGGAGCGACTCGATGAAATTAACCAAAGATGAAGCTTTGGCTTTGCTGATGAGATCAGAGCCCTCCTGAGCCAGATTACGCTGTTCCAGGGCTCAGACTGGGCTGCGGGGTGGCAGAGATACAGGGTCCACAGGGCTGAAACGCCGACTTCCAGGAGGCTGCTGCTTCTCGTGTGGTTGGATGTTTACAAGCCTAATTGTTAAAACTAAAGGCATTCTTTTTCCTGCTGCCTTTTCCCAAAGTGGTTAGGTTTGGAAGACAGATGACAATGGTAATATTTTATTTGTGCTTCTTAAGCCATTTCCCCAACGTGAGACTAGCATGCTGTTTCCAGTGCGCCACTGACCTGCATCAGGAGGGCTTAGATGTTACTCTCTGGGCGTGAGGAGGGGACCTCGCTCACTGTTCTGGGTCTTTGTCAGCTTTGTGCCTGGGGAGCTTTCGGGGGAGGTGGAGGAGGAGGGTCAGCCCAGCTCCTACAACATCCGCATCACCCACAATACCCAGGGATTTGTGGGAGGAGACACTATGGTGTCTATTAAAGTCGTTTGAACCAAAGTGACGGCTGCATCTTTGTTCCAGTGCCTGCTGTGGCCAGGTCTTTATGTCACGCTCTCTCTCCTGCCCTGGCTGCACTGCCAGTCTTCCTGGAGACCTCGGGGTAACTTGCCGGGCTTCGGCACCCTCTCTTCCTGGTGCTTTGCTTTGACACGAAAGTGGGACAGTCCCTGGTGCGTGTCCCAGGAGGAAAAGCACCGAATGGTTCTTGTAATAAGGCACTTTATCAGGACCTGACTTACTGCTGGGTGATTTTAGTATCTAGAAACAGAATGTTGAAAAGCATCAGCTGTCAGGTTGAGTGGCTCCTGCTGATGCTTAGGGGGTGTCTGAATCCTTACTCATCTCTGTGTGTCTGGTACTTCACTGTCACTGGAGGCTCTGGGCTGTCATAGGTGATTGATCATAATTAGCAATATACTTCTCAATGTGGGAGAACCGAATGACACTTTTAAGACAATGACCATTATCAAAACAAAATGTGTAATTTCGGAATTTGAATAATAAATTAAGTGTTTAAATGCTATTTGTAGTCTTGATATACAGAAATAAAATAATTAGGGTTTGTCTTTGACTTTATTTTTATTTTAGGTTGGTTTATGTTGAGTGTTCTATATCTTCTTAGTTTGTATATTTTATTATCGATATTTTAGAAATGGAATATCTGGGACTGCAAAGAAAGTGGCAGTTACACTTATGTGTGTTTTTTCCTCAACTATTCTGACCTTATTTATTTATTTGTATGTTCTAATGGCTAAATATTTGCATTAAATGTTTTTTTCCCACACTGTGTTGGAGTCCTACCCCAGTCACTCTGATCAGCTCCATTCTGCTCTAGAAGAACCAGTTTCTAAATAGTAACTAGTTTTACTGCAGGTGTTGCTTGTCATCAGTTGATACAGCACAGCGCCATGACCTGTACAGACGCAAAACGCCCTGCACAGCTGTATGAGGGACTTGACCTAACAAATTCAAATGTTGTGACCTTGTTTGTACCCTGAAATAAAAAATAAAAAAAATAGAATTCCCAGGGCAGTGGTGCCTGTCACCAGCGGTGGATGGGCTGGGGAGCAGTGGCCTCAGTACCCCCTTTCTGCGTATCACTAAGGCCAGCTCATTGCTGACCACAGAGCTTGTCTTCCCAGGTCTCTCACTGGGTTTCACATTAAGTTGACAAGAATTCCTAAGGGAGGAGCCTCCTTTCTTCTTTGCTTTGTTTACCTTTTTCTGTGCTTTATCCTACTTTTTCTTATTTCTGGCAAATTTGTCCACAAACCTAAATGTTGAGATTGTGGAAGATTATTGTAGGTATTTCTCACAGGCTGTATCTGCAAACAGGTATTTGCGCCAGCATCGTGAGCCATCAGGGTGGCCACAGCACGCTGCAGTGGCTTGCGCACACACGCCCCGTGCTGGGTGCGACCTGCAGTGGGGCTGAGGGTGTGGTGATGAGTCCTTGTGGCACCTTCCTGAGGAGATGAGTGGTGCAGTGTGCCCCACTCTATTCTGGAATTAACTTGCTCTGCAGCCAGCACAGTTGTGTGCAGAGGGGATGGCAAGAGGGGCTTTTATGGGGAGATGGCCTGGCCAGCCCACACAGGTAAGTCCTGGAGTTTGTGCTTTGGCATGCTGGGACCCCTCAGAGGGCTCCTCCTAATGACAGGTGGTGGGCAGAGTTCGTGACCGAAGAGATGTAAATAGCAAGTGCAGGTGGGAAAATGCACTGAGGGCACAAGGGCCTCTGCTTCCAGAAACTCCTGGGTTCTTGAGGCCAAGTACTCTGTGCTTCAGCTTATCTGTCAGTGAAACAGAGATGGTACTTGGGCTTCACAGGAGTGTTCTCAAGAAATGATGAGAATTGTAAATAAGGGACTTAAACGTATAAACTTACTAGAATCTTATTTTAACTTGTCTCCTTTTGTGGTTTCCTATCACAGGTTCCAAATGTCATTACAAAAGCCTGCCCTAGCCAGGTGTAGTGGCTGACACCTACAATCCCAGCACTCTGGGAGGCTGCAGTGGGAGGATTCCTTCAGCTCAGGAGTTGGAGACCAGGCTGAGCAAGAGCGAGAGCCTGTCTTTTTACTAAAAGTAGAAAAACTAGCCGAGCAATGTGGTGGGCACCTGTAGTCCCAGCTACATGGGAGGCTGAGGCAGGAGGATTGCTTGAGCCCAAGAGTTTGAGGTTGCTGTGAGCTATGTTGCTATGGCACTCTACCCAGGGTAAGGAGTGTGTATTTCTGGTCATTACAGTTATAAGCCGATGGTGCCATCATCTGACTGATATTGTTCAAACACTGGATCACCCAAGGAATTCCCCTGGTAGGAGTGTCTGGAGATTTCCTGACCGTGCAAGGGCAGACAGCCACCTCCAAGGTGGGAGCACCTCACCTTCAAACTGAGCTGCTGAGCACCCCTCTACCTGTGGCACTGTGTGGGGCAGTGAGTGGGTGCTGCCAGGTTATCAGCTTCCTGTAGCCACCCTGGCGAATCTCCAGTTTGGTGATTTAAAACAGCACATGTCGGGCAGTGCCTGTGGCTCAAAGGAGTAGGGCGCCGGCCCCATATGCCAGAGGTGGTGCGTTCAAACCCAGCTCCAGCCAAAAACTGCAAAAAAAAAAAAAAAAAAACCAGAACATGTCCTCGGGAGAGTTCTGGAGGCCAGAAGCCTGAATCAAGGTGTCAGAGGGCCACATCCCTCTGGGGATTCTAGATACAACCCTTTGTCCCCTTCAGTATGAGGCCACTGGCCTCTGGGTGGCAGCACCACTCCAGTCTGCCTCCTGGTCCCCATCACCACTTCTGTCTGTCTCTGTCCTCCTGCCTTTCTTTCAGATAACCTCCTAGACAGTGAAGGCTGACCTCGTCTCTAGATCTCCAGTTATATTCAGGGACCCTTTTTCCAAATCAGACCACAGTCTCAGATTCCGGGGATTAAGATGTGGATCCATCTCTTCGGGGCCACCTTCAATGCCCCCCATATATATCATTCTAAGAAATGGCTTAGCACTGCATCCAAAACCCAAGCCAGTGTGGTAGACAGACTCTGGAATGTGGAAACTACCTTGTAGCTGTAGCTTGGTTGTTACCTGCACAGAATTGAGGGAGCCCTCGGTTCGACTGTCAGGTAGGAGGGTACCAAACTGCTGCAGGTGGCTTGTGTCTCTGGAGATGGAGGTTTAAATGTGTGCTTTTTTTTTTTTTTTTTTTTGAGACAGAGTCTCACTATCACCCTGGGTAGAATGCTATGGCGTCACAGCTCACAGCAACTTCAAACTCTTGGGCTT